GTTGCTAGGTGACAAGACGTACGCCGGGGTAAGGAGGGGAGGCTAGACCGTCCAAATCCACAGACTCTTTTTTTCCGGTCTTCCCGGTCTACCAAGGACTCGGCCCGCCGAGACTGGGGAGTCTGGGTCCTCTGGAGGACCCAGCCTGTCGTTTTGGACACAGCCTTACAATGCTAATGCTACCCTTACTCTCTGGCGCTCAAGAGGGAGAGGAGCCAAATGGCTGGCTCACTGCTGCCAACTAGTGGTCAGAGGCTGAACTACAACATAAAAATTAACGGCTGACAGGAAAGTTGATGTTTTGAACCTTAATAAAAAAATCGATACAGGGCTTTAGAATATCGATACAGTATCGGGAAATGAAATATTGYGATATTTCAGCGTATCGATATTTTCTTACACCCCTAGTCACCAGGCTTACCATTGACCGTGTTGATGTTGCCCTGGATCTCAGCCTGGGTGAGAAGCTCATCGTAGATATCTCTCTCTGCATCAGCRTTCTCCATTTGCTGCAACACAAACATTAAGAGAAAACCCCAGATTTTTTTACACTTTTTATACTTGACAGTACTTAAACCATTAAACACTATGCATCCTTTAGAGATGCAAACAGTTAGTCGACTTACGGTTAACTGTTGAATAATGGTTTATTAGATTAAAATCAATTCCAATCCATTAACTGATAGCATCCACCAGTGCATCACATGGTCCATTTAAATAGCTCTAACCGGAAAGGTCCGCCTTCTCTGAGATGTGTTTCAATTTGACTCAAAAGTAGAAACTCCAAACTTTAAACCAGTTTTTGAAATTGTGTTGTTCGGCAATGTAGAATCAGAGTTATGATAAATAGCATACTCCACATTTTATTTTCTTACAATGACAGTCCAATTTGATGCAACTCACGTCACGAGAAGGAAACACGAAAAAAAAGGAAAAAATAAAATTAACTCAATCCACCGTCACTTTCATCTTCCCTTGAGCTGAAAATATAAAACCGTCTCATCTTTTTCCTGACTGAGGCCAAACGTTATTTGTCAAGCAGCAAAAAGTCTATAGGATGGATGGATGGATACAGACAGACAGACAGACAGACAGACAGACAGACAGACAGACAGACAGACAGACAGACAGACAGACA